ACAATATTAAATCATTTGGATATCGTATCCAGCAATATTAAAGGAACAGTATAGTGTAAGGGATACAAAGCTGCCCCCACAACCTCCCTGGTCCCCACTCCACCATCCCTCCCACCATGAATTTGTTAAATAAACATTAAAACACTTACCGGATTCCAGCACCAGTGTCCCTCGGCGGTGGGTTCAGGCTCATACTCCGCCAATGTCAGCCGATAGGGGACCTAATGCGCATGCATGGCGAGCGTCACGCACATTGGGCATTCCCCATAGGAAAGCATTGACTCAGTGCGTTCCTATGGGGATTTTCAACATACTGGACGTCCTTATGCAAAACGTGAGGACGTCCAGCATTGTTTTACAGAGTCAAACTTTATTAAACGGCAGGAAGCACCTCGAGTGGCCATCTAGTAGCTAGGCAGTCTTAACACTATTGCAGTTTCTCATAAACTGCAATGTTTACATTGCAGGGTTAAGAGAACATGGACTTCACCCAGACCACTTCAGTGAGATAAAGTGATCTGGGTGCCTATAATGTCAATTTAAATTTAAATCCTAATGGCAAAAATGAAGCTGTGACTAAAGCTGAGTTGGAATTTTTTTTCCAAATCGTATATTTTTTCCTAAATATTATCATTCAAATTTAATTTGCTAAACGTCGTAAACAACAATATAAATGTCACACTTCGGTAATAGCTGGCCAAACCAGTTGTTAAATCTAGAATTATTACAATCTAGATTTATTAACCAGATTTTGTAAGCTTTATTCCAATTCAGTATGGACGCCGAAAGCCATGTTGAACTGAATTCTTCACAGAGTAACGTGAACATTTTACGTACACACGGTTTTTATCAAAATAATTTTTTTATTTTGACTATTCATGACTTAGTTAAAAATGTGCAAATGTTTTAAATGGGCAAAGCCTCTTGTTAGTTTGCCAAATAGTCCAATTCGATAGGGCACCTGGTCGTACCATAGCTTTACGACAAACCGTTTTAGAAGTGCTTTGATTTATAACTTACTGTGTTTGTAGTGATTTGCAGATCATTTGTGTAATCCAGTTTATTCTCCTCCATAGACTTGGCAGTTCTTTAATGAACCAGAGATATGTGTGGGTGCATAATAAAATATGAAACTGCTTGGAGCTCAGTCTGATGATATCACGAGAAATACTTTTTTAAGTTTGTTTTCAGAAGAAAGGACAGAACGCTGTACAATAAGTAAACAAACCAAATATTCACTTTCAATTAACTAATTTCATTAGGATTGGTAACACGCACCCTGTAGCCAAATTGGGACCTGTCCTATTGAATATGGAACTAACGCTGCTAGATCCACCATGTTTTTTCAAGCAAATAAAAAGAGCTGCTTTGGATAACATAGTGTTGATATGCTGCAGGAGGTTAAAGAGTACATTAGCTGCAGAACATGAATCCTACATACTACACACGTCGCAATATTGGGAGGTATGAAATTGGCCTAAAGGGAGCGTGCTAGATGCCAATCAGAAAACTGTCCGTCCCACTTGGCAAGGAGTCGGGGCTGCCCATAGAAGTAATAAACGTTTGCCAAGCTGAATCACAGTCTCCAGGCTGTCCCCAGTCAGAGCAGGCTTGAAGCGCTAGTGGTCCCAGTGTGAGCACGTCTAATGATGCGCTACGCTGATGGAAACCATGTTAAAGGATAGGATTGATGAACATCTAAAAACACATGGATTTCAAGATCAGAGACAACATGGGTTTACTTCAGGGAGATCATGCCAAACTCTTATTGATTTTTTTGATTGGGTAACTAAAACTATAGATCAGGGTGGTGCAGTAGACATTGCTTACCTAGATTTCAGTAAGGCTTTTGACACTGTTGCACATAGAAGGCTTATCAATAAACTGCAATCTTTAAGTTTGGATTCAAATATTGTTGAATGGGTAAGGCAGTGGCTGAGTAACAGGCAACAGAGGGTTGTAGTTAATGGAATATATTCGAAAGCTTGACTTGTCACCAGTGGGGTACCTCAGGGATCTGTACTTGGACCCATTCTCTTTAATATTTTTATTAGTGATATTGCAGAAGGTCTTGATGGTAAGGTATGTCTTTTTGCTGATGATACTAAGATATGTAACAGGGTTGATGTTCCAGGAGGGATAAGCAAAATGACAAATGATTTAGGTAAACTAAAAAAATGGTCAGAATTGTGGCAACTGACATTTAATGTGGATAAGTGAAAGATAATGCATCTTGCACGTAAAAACCCAAGGGCAGAGTACAGAATATTTGATAGAGTCCTAACCTCAAATATATGAGGTGCATTCTAGGGGTAACATTTCTGATGACTTAAAGGTAGGCAAGGCAGACAATGTAATAGAGCAGCAGGAAATGCTAGCAGAATGCTTGGTTGTATAGGGAGAGGTATTAGTAGTAGAAAGAGGGAAGTGCTCATGCCATTGTACAGAACACTGGTGAGACCTCACTTGGAGTATTGCACACAGTACTGGAGACCGTATCTTCAGAAGGATATTGATAACCTTAGAGAGGGTTCAGAGAAGGGCTACTAAACTGGTTCATGGATTGCGGGATAAACTTCTAATACCAGGAAAGTTAAAAGGATCTTAACATGTATAGTTGAGTGGAAAGACTTATTGTAGGGATAGCGATAGAAACATTTAAATATATAAAGGAATCAACACAGTAAAGGAGGAGACTATATTAAAAGAAGAAAAACTACCATAACAGGAGGACATATAGTCTTAAATTAGAGGGACAAAGGTTTAAAAATAATATCAGGAAGTATTACTTTACTGAGAGGGTAGTGGATGCATGGAATAGCCTTCCAGCTGAAGTGGTAGAGGTTAACACAGTAAAGGAGTTTAAGCATGCTTGTGATAGGCATAAGGCTATCCTAACTATAAAGATAAGGCCAGGGACTTACCAAAAGTATTTTTAGAAAAATTGAGCAGACTACAGAGTGCAGAATTATTAGGCAAGTTGTATTTTTGAGGATTAATTTTATTATTGAACAACAACCATGTTCTCAATGAACCCAAAAAACTCATTAATATCAAAGCTGAATATTTTTGGAAGTAGTTTCTAGTTTGTTTTTAGTTATAGCTATGTTAGGGGGATATCTGTGTGTGCAGGTGACTATTACTGTGCATAATTATTAGGCAACTTAACAAAAACAAATATATACCCATTTCAATTATTTATTATTACCAGTGAAACCAATATAACATCTCAACATTCACAAATAGACATTTCTGACATTCAAAAACAAAACAAAAACAAATCAGTGACCAATATAGCCACCTTTCTTTGCAAGGACACTCAAAAGCCTGCCATCCATGGATTCTGTCAGTGTTTTCATCTGTTCACCATCAACATTGCGTGCAGCAGCAACCACAGCCTCCCAGACACTGTTCAGAGAGGTGTACCGTTTTCCCTCCTTGTAAATCTCACATTTGATGATGGACCACAGGTTCTCAATGGGGTTCAGATCAGGTGAACAAGGAGGCCATGTCATTAGATTTTCTTCTTTTATACCCTTTCTTGCCAGCCACGCTGTGGAGTACTTGGACACGTGTGATGGAGCATTGTCCTGCATGAAAATCATGTTTTCTTGAAGGATGCAGACTTCTTCCTGTACCACTGCTTGAAGAAGGTGTCTTCCAGGAACTGGCAGTAGGACTGGGAGTTGAGCTTGACTCCATCCTCAACCCGAAAAGGCCCCACAAGCTCATCTTTGATGATACCAGCCCAAACCAGTACTCCTCCTCCACCTTGCTGGCGTCTGAGTCGGACTGGAGCTCTCTGCCCTTTACCAATCCAGCCACGGGCCCATCCATCTGGCCCATCAAGACTCACTCTCATTTCATCAGTACATAAAACCTTAGAAAAATCAGTCTTGAGATATTTCTTGGCCCAGTCTTGACGCTTCAGCTTGTGTGTCTTGTTCAGTGGTGGTCGTCTTTCAGCCTTTCTTACCTTGGCCATGTCTCTGAGTATTGCACACCTTGTGCTTTTGGGCACTCCAGTGATGTTGCAGCTCTGAAATATGGCCAAACTGGTGGCAAGTGGCATCGCGGCAGCTGCACGCTTGACTTTTCTCAGTTCATGGGCAGTTATTTTGCGCCTTGGTTTTTCCAAACGCTTCTTGCGACCCTGTTGACTATTTTGAATGAAACGCTTGATTGTTCGATGATCACGCTTCAGAAGCTTTGCAATTTTAAGAGTGCTGCATCCCTCTGCAAGATATCTCACTATTTTTGACTTTTCTGAGCCTGTCAAGTCCTTCTTTTGACCCATTTTGCCAAAGGAAAGGAAGTTGCCTAATATTTATGCACACCTGATATAGGGTGTTGATGTCATTAGACCACACCCCTTCTCATTACAGAGATGCACATCACCTAATATGCTTAATTGGTAGTAGGCTACAGCTTGGAGTAAGACAACATGCATAAAGAGGATGATGTGGTCAAAATACTCATTTGCCTAATAATTCTGCACTCCCTGTAGATGGGCCCAATGGTTCTTATCTGCCGTCACATTCTATGTTTCTATGTCTCTGCTGTGTGTTAGTGGGTGTGGAACTTATGAAGACATTTTGAAGGAGTGCAGAGAAGGGAAATAAAATAAAAAACCAACAACGTTTCAGCTCATCATCATCCCATGAAGCTCAGGCATGCGTTTACACACTCAGATATTTGCAAAACATTCTTTTCATAGTGGCGGTTAATTAAAATGAAAGTTTTGGGTGTACCAGGAGTCAGGCACACAAATTAAGTAAAATAAAAGTACACATCTAATTTATTTTTTTAAATACCAGGTAGTGTATTTATCTCAGATGTCACAGTTCTAGTTCAATCTTAACCATTCGTGTTCCATCTAGCTTCCAAACATCCTCTACAGCAACGCACACACTGCAAGCATTTAGTGTTTTGGCATTAGCAATGAAGCGTGAAAGCTCTTGTGAAATCATATTGCACAAAATGTACACCGAAAAAAAAAATTCTAATGCAAAATCATTTATTCTTAAATTTACATATTTATTTTATAAAACAAAAAAACATATTTAAGATTACAATGCAATACAAAAATACATAAAAATAGATGACACTTTAAAAGCATGAAATTGTAATCTCATACCTGGATTTACAACATAATATTGACGCTTTGGTCAGGTACTACTCAGAAAATACATCATTGGTCCTGTCTGCTGGTGCGTGGAATCATTTAACACAATAATTAGCCGCCTTCCCAACTCTAGACGTGGTTGGCTACATGTGATTGGAAGAACGTTATTGGATATGTAGCCAGTCACACCAAGAATGGCAAAAGCTAGATAACCTTTATTGAGCATAAATAAAAATAACCAAATGCTATAACTCTTGCTTTCCTAAAAGGTACAATAAAATGTATTTTCATCCGTTGCTACTGAAGGAAACTAAAAAAAGTTTTTCAATACCAGCCACGGCCAATCAGTAAATTCTCACAGTGTGCTAAATTCTGAGCACTAATTTAAAAAAGACACACAGATTCTCTACAGTTTACGCTGAGAAAGAGCTGGAATATATTAAAATTTCTCTACAGAGAAGGTTATCGAAGGCACATCACAAACAAATGGGGTGATTTAATAAACCATGGCTTTTTGGAGACTTGACTACGAAATTGCAAATTGCCGGTCAAAATAGCCATATTGGAGCAATTCTCCAATTTCCACTGTGGGTAATTTGACGTTAAATGAGCAATTATCTTATCAATTCTTCGCAAGTGCCGGTTTAGTAAAAAATCCCCCACGGATAGAGAAGCCACTTTGGACATTTTAGCATCAGGCAAAGTGAGCAGAAAGTTTGGTTTGAGGATCCCAGAACTAAAAGTTAAATCGATATCACCAGTGGAAGAGAATTGGGAACCCCCTAAATCCTGGACCACTAGGTGAATAACTTTCGGGAAACACGGTTTTAAAGGAATGTTTTTTGTTGTTGTTTTTTTTTATATTTTTTTAAATAAAACCACTTTCTTTTATTGCATTTGTCTTATTTCGTGAGTAGGCTACGAACTCTAGCATAAAGAGTTCCTTTTAATGCGTTTATTTTCTTTGTGCCGCCTATTCGCTCAGCCTTGTACAGACTTCAGACCACGGAACGAATTGGAAAACTGAAGAAGTTTATTCAATAAATCATAACTGAGGCTATAATGGCCAGGCTGAAAAAAAAAAAAAGCTTAAATTCAATAGACCTATTGTCTACGGAATTTGATGGCGCTATATAAATTCTAAAATAATAATAGACCTGGACTGGGATGTACTCACTAAACTGTGAATTGTGGAGTTGCTGCTAAGGAATTTGTAAATGTTTAAAGGACCACTATAGTGCCAGGAAAACATACTCAGGGTCCCACTCCCGCCGGGCTGGATGGCGAGGAAAGGGTTAAATCTTACCTTTTTACCTCCTCCTCTCTGATCCTCCTCTTCGGCTGAATGCGCATGCGCGGCAAGAGCTGCGCGCGCATTCAGCCTGTCTCATAGGAAAGCATTTGCAATGCTTTCCTATGGACACTTGCGTCTTCTCACTGTGATTTTCACAGTGAGGAGCACGCAAACGCCTCTAGCGGCTGTCAATGAGACAGCCACTAGAGGCTTTAGAGGCTGGATTAACCTATTTATAAACATAGCAGTTTCTCTGAAACTGCTATGTTTATAAAAAAAAGGGGGTTAATCCTAGAGGGACCTGGCACCCAGACCACTTCATTAAGCTGAAGTGGTCTGGGTGCCTAGAGTGGTCCTTTAAGTCAAAACATCAAATAATTTTTCAAAATCAGCTATTTTCTCATCTGGACTATTTTGATCTAACTTGTTCAATTCCACCATCATTTCTCCACAATTGCCAGTCTAGTGAAAATCTACTTTTAGTTTAGAAATAGTAATTAGAAAATGATTTTACTTAATCTCCTCATCCTGTCGGAAGACGCGTTCAGTAGAAACAAAATATACAATATAAATTTTTAAAAGACTTGTGTTCTTTTTTTTTTACTAATAAACCTACATTTGTATCATAATGCCTAAAGCACACATTAGCCACGGATACTTTGAATCTTGGATCACTGTTAATTCCATATATTTCATGTACACACTGAATAAACAAATGGGTCTCGCTCATATTGACAATAAAACAGATGTGAGTTCATTGAACCCCCTGGAAGATTCCCTTTAGAATATTCCTTAATTCATTTCCTACATATAGCTCCTGTACATTATGTTATCAAGATGTGTATAAGTCCTCAGGTTCTGTCCTTCATTGTATTCATATTATTATAATTGTCAGGAGTGGTCAAGCCAAGCAGAGGTTTGACATCAACATCATCATACAGCAAAGTATGTGCTCACTAGCTCAGGATGATGGGAGTGGCAGTCCTACACACCAGCTCCCCAGTGAGGAAGTATGCAGTGCCTCAATACGCACAGTTTACACCCAAATAAAATGTTGTAAGTCTGGTAGTTTGTTCTGAGTGAGGTAACAAGGCATCTTTGCTAATGTATCATCGTATTCACCTGAGTGACAATTGGATTCAATCACCGAGCCAGGAATTGAGACGGAATTGCTAATTTTACAGGAATATCCACTAAAGTAAGTACATGTCAAACTTAAGGCCAAAGTAGCTTAAATGGAAGCATAGCTGACTTTCAATTTGGCTATTTTTACCTTAAATTTCCTAATTCGGTAAATAAACCTCGATATTAATATTATCAATGCTTTACATTCCCAAAGGCTAAAATTTTACTTTAAATCTCACTCCCAACAAGGAAATTAAACACCGTATAACCAGCACAAGAGCTCTTGAAAGGTGTTTGTTTGGTTTATAATCCCAAATAAAATCAAAAGTTACAGAAAATTGGACAAGGTTTTAGGTTTTTTTTTTTTTTATAAAAGACATACACAGATATAAATATATAATTCATTGCCATTGTGTGTTTACAAAACCTTTTTTTTAAGGTAAAACAGATAAAGGTAGCTGGTACAAAGATATGGCTAAATAAACGACAATCATTTGTTCAGTCTGTGCCCACAATTATTGGGGTTTACTCACTCGCACCGAGAATTGAAAAGGGGACTGCGATTTGTACGCCAAGATATCCAAATGCAGATTTTTCGTATTCAGACGTTTTAACCTAAAATTTGTCATTCTCCATAATTTCTTGTTTACGAAAACAAAAACCATGAGTCTTCAAAAAGTAGACAGAAACTAGATTGATGCAGAGGCAACCCCCAGAAAGAAGCCAGGTTGTTACCTTTTTGTGACAACTTACTGTATATCAGAATAACAAATGTGTATTTTAAATGAACTATTACCAGCAGGTAGTACACAATACCACTATTGGTCTCCAACACCTTGAATGAAAGTGAGAATCTAAGTATTGTGTATATTTTTTTTTAGCTTAGTGTGAAATGCAAACTCTGATTAAACATCTGCTTGATTTTTTATTTTTTAAACAGCTGCAAATGGCTCATGGGAGAGAGGACCCTTGGCGGGAGGTCTTAAAACTTTGTTAAATGAACCACTATGTCTCTGATCATGGCAATTACCTGCAGGTAAAATGCCAACATAATACTGGTGAAGTTTTGATGCAAGGTGCTTATTATAATCAACAGACAATATCCTGGTAATTTGTGACAGATTTAAATTTTTTTAAATTTTTGGGCAATACCCCTGCTTTAAAACTGACTGTTGCAACCAAGATATGTTGCTGAAACAAAAGCTGACTTAGTTGTTTGGTGCTGGGAATGTCCTGAAACATCAGTGGCTATGTCATAAAACAGGCATTTTTTTAATTTAACGCAAACATCAAACATCAGCGGACTTACAAGTAATAGAAAAATATACAAATTTTTCTAAGGAAAATAGGAATATGTTTTGGATAAACTATATGTGTCCAGAAACCATGCAAAGTATTTTTTTTAAAATCAGGTTTACGTAAAGAAACGGACAGCTGATTATCAGAATTTACTATCGAAACCCAAACTCCCCAAATTTGAGCTGGAAAAAATCTAATTTCTATTATATTTTTAAGTCCACAACTTTTTATTTTTTTACTAAACTGTGCAATTTGGTTGTTAACTCACCAAAGCTGAGTTTATGTGCAGTGATGGGCACCTACATGGAAATGTCTTCCGCAGATATCTGGATGCCAAAATGATCTCTCTCTGGTTTGGTGAATATCCCGAGCAGCGTAGAATGTTATTAGACAGAATAAACGGAGTGCTAAACACTGTCTGTATCGAGCAGTGAAAACACAGTGCTTTTGTCAACTATTCTTTGGGGAAAATATCGTAACCTTTAACCACTACAACTCTCGCATCGCTAAGTGAAAACTGCTAATGGGGTCCAAACCTCCTTCTTCTAGCAAATTTAAATATGTGGTTCCCTAACAGACTCCCACACAATGATCACTTAAAACAGGAATTGAGAACACTGTTATTACTGTCAGACCTCAAGTGTTTGTTTTGTCAGCAGGTAGGCACCGATGCATGTGTTTTCTTCTGTTGGTTTTGAAATAGTTCATATGATTTACATTTATTTATTTTTTACAGGAAAATAAAAACTTAAATACTATGGCTAACGAAATGATGCTTTAAAAGTTCATCTGCCGTGGGTCTCCGCTTTTCCTCAACAAATATTTGTTTCATGAAGTCTCTACAGAAGTCTGAAACGTTGTCAGGGAGTTTGGGTTTCGTCGGCTGTGTGGCAATTTTAAAGATGGCTGCCATGGCTTCAAATTCCGCCCACGGTGGCTTCTCAGTTAACATTTCGACAACCGTGCACGCCACACTCCTAGGTTTAAAAAAAATAATAATAATAATAATGAAAAATAAAATGGATTAGATGTTTGCATGAATAAATGAAAGGCTAAAAATGAATTTTAAAACAACTGATAAAAATCACTTAAAATAGTATAGTTATTATATATGTAATTAAAATAACACTTTTTTTTCATATTACTTGATAGACAATAGACGAATAACCTTTGCACCCCAGATGTTACTGAACCACATTTAAAATGAAAAAGCTGGCAGAGACTCATGGGAAATTCGGAAGCATCTGAGTTGCCAAGGACAGTCATCAGAGGGCTAAATAATGTGTCCGTGTGAAAGAGCATTACTAGTGGTGGCTTGTTCGTTTAGTCTGGCATCCTTACCACACATCTGCCTTCCTCCCATATCCTTCACCACTGATCACCTCCGGACTCATCCAGTACGGCGTACCCGTCACAGATTTAATGCCGGTTCCAGACATGCAGATGGTTTGGATTCGCTTGCTGGCCCCAAAGTCACCAAGTTTTACGTTCCCAGCTGAGTCTCTCAATATGTTGGCACCTGCAGACAGAGGACAAAACAATTGTAGTGCAATCTGCAGAGCAGATAATTCAGTCTCTGGCTATTGTTTTACAGAGTACACATTTAGCACGTTCAGGAAATGGCCAGGCAACGTGCCACCACTAAGCTGTGTCATACAAGCCAGGACTTTATCTAACAAACTCAGCCTTCCTGTGAAATCATCTTCTCCTTCCCTACTCTCTCTGTTCTTGTAGTTTAATTTATATTGCATCCGGTCTGGCGTGCACTACGCCGAGTGGCGCTTTCTTTATTCCAGACCTTAAAAATTATGCAGAACACATTCCTTTTATTTAAATTAAAACGGGAAAGAGAACCCTACCAAGAAAATGAGAAAAAGTAACAAAGTAGAACAAAATGAAAATATAAATATAGTTTGCAGCTTTACGTATTCATTAAAACACTTTTGCAACATTTGAAAACTTTTGAATTCAGCTGCCACTGGACTGAGAATTCACTGAAAGCTCTCATGGGAAGAACTGATTTAAGGGAATTGTAGTTCAATTTTCTATTGGAAGCTGCACAGCTTGCAGCAAACAAGGGCAGAATTGTATTCATTAATGGAAATCATGAATTATGCTATTTGCCTAAAGTCATTTAAGATGAGAGCAAATAGCATTATTTTTAGAATGTTTAAAATTATTAATGTAGGTAATTGAAATTAGCTACTAAAAAAATGTAAGACAATCAATGTACATTTTAAACATACATAAAAAGGTGGAGCTTTAAAATACAGCGGATGTTCTGCAAAATAAAATCGGTACAGAAAATAGTCCAATATGTCTTTAAAACACTATATTACAAGGAGTAAAGAAATGGTTAAACTCACAAGCCTGGAGTCATACCCTCATATGACTCAAGTGGTATAATCCTCTGGACCATTTGGGGGTTGTCCAGACCCTTCTTTCCCAGCGTACTTTGCGGTTTTTCTTATATCCCTCAACTGGCTCCCAGGTATAGAAAATGCCAGGTGTCAAAGGATCCTTTAAAAGTAGTTTTATTTCTCCAAAGATAAAAACAAGATTTAAAAATCAATATGCTGATGCCAGATTTTTCTGGATAGACTAAATAGTCCAAAATAGTAGTTCAAAGTCCAAAACGCGTTTCGCCTTGATAAAAGGCTTCCTCAGTTTGCTGTTGTGTGTCCCATCTGTTGCTGCTGCTTTTTAAATAGCCCACTTGCTGGTTTCGCTCGTTCTATCCGTCACTTCCGGGTTGGGTCCTGTTGGAACGCAACGTGCGTTCCAGTGCTCGTCTTCCAAGTTTGTCTTCCGTGTGTGTTAATTTGAATAGGCATATCATCAAACTTTATTGCTACATGGCAAATCGGTTGTATACAATGTATCTCTGTGTTAAGGGAGAGTTTATATGAACAATATTCTTCACCTTAAGGGAATATTAACGCTTGTAAGCTTTTGTGGCACTATAAAATCCCTTGTATATTATCTTTCAAGGGAAATTAGCAGTATTCTGACATCCAGATAAAAAAGATGTGCATTTATTTCCTAAGAAGTGGATTTCTTTGAGTATATATTCAGATAGTAATATGACACCTATATGGAAGGACTCAAAATATTTAAAGGGTATATATACCATTTCTAAAAGTCCCTTTTCTAGATGGTATAGATGCAAAATATATAAAATAGAGACAGAGAATAAAAATGGAACCACATAATGAAATACCAGTCACTTAATGCAATATAAAATGACCCAGATTTTAACCTTAAAAAACTATGTTAGTTCATAAAATTACACAGTTCAAAATCATTATTTAACCCGTATGGTGTCATGTTATTGAAATTAAAAATGAGTCTCATTTCCTATTTTTTTAATGTAGTCTCCTCCTCTCCAATCTTTTTTTACGAGTTTTATAGCACTAAAGAACATTCCTTCAGGGTTTTTTTTGGTGTGTAGTTCTAAAATGGTTGGAGACACTATGTGACTCCACACCAGTGTTGAGGTTTCGAATTGTGCAACCTACATATAAGAGGTTGCACGGGCATTTTAGAACATAGATTACTCCTTTAGAGTAGCAAGTTAAATTATCTTTTATTAAGAACTTTTGATTTATGAAGGGTTCTCGATCTGTTATATGTCTTTTTTTACTCTTGGTGTTTTTGCATGTTAAGCATTGCCCACATCCGTAAAAGCCTTTGTTCATTGTGAAGAAATTTTTCTTCAATGTTATTTCTTTATTGCTACTGTGTACTAGGGTATTTCTCAAATTTTTAGCTCCCCTAAAAATTATTTTAGGTTTTTCTGGCAGGATATTTTTAAGAACCGGATCATCTTGTAAAATGTGCCAGTATTTATTCATAATTTTATGAATTTTTCTGTTGTTACCATTATAATTACATATAAATGGGATATTATTGTTACTCCTTTTAAGGTCTTTCTTTTTATTTTTGGATACCAACAGGTCTTTTCTCGGTATTTGTAAAACCTTATCCAAAGCTGCTTGTAGTGAGGATTCTTCGTAGCCTTTCTGTAGGAATTGGGTTTTAATCCTATTTGCTTGTCTCAGATAATCTTGGTCGTTTGAACAATTCCTTCTAATTCTTAAAAACTGTCCCCTGGGTGCGTTTGTTAACCAGGGAGTGTGATGGCAGCTTTCTTTCCTGATGTAACCATTGGCATCAATTTCCTTAAAATGGTTTCTAGTCGTGATCTTTGTACCCGTTATGTGAATATCTAAATCTAAAAAAATAATGTGCTGCGTACTGATCTGTGCGGTTAAAACAATGTTCCACTCATTAGCATTTAAGTATGTAATAAAAGTATTAAGATCCATATCGGTTCCTGTCCAGATAAAAAAATATATCGTCTATATAACAGCAATAGTTCATCAAGCTCGCCCCCCATGGGTGACCTTGATATATGAATTGTTCCTCCCAATATGCCATGAACAAATTGGCATAGCTAGGGGCGAACTTGGTGCCCATCGCCATCCCCCTAACTTGTAAATAAAAGACCTCATTAAACCAGAAAAAGTTGTTGGTTAAAATTAAGCGTATGCCTTCTAAAATGAATAAAACTTGTTCTTCTTTAAAATTGTATTTCTTCAAAAAATATTGCACTGCTTCCAGTACTTTTTCATGAGGTATTATGCTGTAGAGCGAAGTCACATTGCATGTGACTAAAAAATTACCATCATTCCAAGGTGTCTCCTCTAAAATTTGTAAGATATGGATGGTGTCTTTCAGATAAGCAGGATTCTGTATGACTAAAGGCTGCAGTAGATGATCCAGGTATTCCAAAACTTTGGCAGAGATGGAATCTATCCCAGATATAATGGTAACAACAGAAAAATTAATAAAATTATGAATAAATACTGGCACATTTTACGAGATGATCCGGTTCTTAAAAATATCCTGCCAGAAAAACCTAAAATAATTTTTAGGGGAGCTAAAAACTTGAGAAATACCCTAGTACACAGTGGCAATAAAGAAATAACATTGAAGAAAAATTTCTTCACAATGAACAAAGGCTTTTACGGATGTGGGCAATGCTTAGCATGCAAAAACACCAAGAGTAAAAAAAAGACATATAACAGATCTAGAACCCTTCATAAGTCAAAAGTTCTTAATAAAAGATCATTTAACTTGCTACTCTAAAGGAGTAATCTATGTTCTAAAATGCCCGTGCAACCTCTTATATGTAGGTCGCACAATTCGAAACCTCAACACTAGGGTGGCAGAACACATAAAAAATGGTGTGGACACCAGTGAAACACGGGGGCATGGCGTTTCCAAATGTAAAAGCCTACTATCAGGCGGCAGCCTTAACCCCTCTATTAACACATTTGGTGAGGAACAACCAACCACAATGGGTACACCTAGAGAACCTAGCTGTTAAGCCCTTTGCAATCCACATCCTGACATGGCTGCACAAATCAAACAGACCAACTACACCGTTACTACCATTACAAGTACAACTAGCGTTACAGATTTGGGACACGCATAGGAGGAAGTTTGAGACAGCCAACCCCCTCTCCATGGCAACTCCCATAGAAGCCATAACATACTGCATCCCAACATTTCACGCAATGCCGTGGAAGGACAAGGGAATCTCACACCTAGCTCAGGTCTTTGAATCAGGCAAGCTGATGGGTTTTGACCGTCTTAACACGATCTTTAAAATGCCACACACATCAAGCTATTCATACATCCAACTTAAAGGACCACTCTAGGCACCCAGACCACTTCAGCTTAATGAAGTGGTCTGGGTGCCAGGTCCTTCTAGGGTTAACCCATTTTTTCATAATTATAGCAGTTTCAGAGAAACTGCTATAATTATGAATGGGTTAAGCCTTCCCCCTAATCCTCTAGTGGCTGTCTCATTGACAGCTACTAGAGGCGCTTGCGTGCTTCTCACTGTGAAAATCACAGTGAGAGCACGCCAGCGTTCATAGGAAAGCATTGTAAATGCTTTCCTATGAGACCGGCTGAATGCGCGCGCAGCTCTTGCCGCGCGTGCGCATTCAGCCGGCTGGGCGTAACGGAGGTGGAGAGGAGGAGGAGAGCTCCCCGCCCAGCGCTGGAAAAAGGTAAGTTTTTACCCCTTTCCCCCTTCCAGAGCCGGGCGGGAGGGGGACCCTGAGGGTGGGGGCACCCTCAGGGCACTATAGTGCCAGGAAAACGAGTATGTTTTCCTGGCACTATAGTGGTCCTTTAAATCCTTTCTACATACACGTAATAAAGATAGTAGAAATGAGACTACAATTGCCAGTGCGCTATCGACCTGGGAACAAACAGGCATCACAGGCAAACTACCCCAGACCTTCAAACCCTTATCTGGCTGCTACAGACTTATTCTGCCATACCAATCCCTTTCTGACTCCACTCCAGCACACCAATGGGAAATGGACCTCCAAACTCCCATCACTGAGAAACAGTGGTCTTCTATCACATCTTCCACTAGAAAATTGATCAAATCTGCTCCCCTTATAGAACAACACCAGAAAACAATATATCGGTGGTATATGGTGCCGCTACGTATACACAAACTGTATCCCACTGCGTCTCCGACGTGTTGGAGATGCAAACAAGAGAAAGGCTCGGTCCTCCACATTTGGTGGAAATGTCCACGCCTAATCAGGTATTGGGAAGACACAGGAAAAATCATTGCAGATAATACCACCATCCACCTACCCTTTGACCCTAAGACCTTTTTACTGTTAGATATACCCAGAGAAACACCCACACAAGCGAGAAAATTAATGTACCACGTCCTGCTAACCGCACAAAAACTGATCGCACGACACTGGAAAACAACAGACACCCCTAGCATTCCTGCCCTCATCCAAGACATAGACAAGCAAGCTATTTACGAAACAAGCTTTTCCAAAGCGCAGAATAGCACCAAATGTAGTGGTAGCACATGGGAACAGTGGCGAGCTTGGAGAAACGCTAACGCACAACACGTACCCACCAATCACAACTTAAAATAACAACTCAACTAACCACAAAAGCTAAACGCAGGTAGACTGGGGGTGGCAATCGCCTCAAGAATGTGGGGAACACTATTACGTCTGAGAGTAGTATACAGCAGACTGGGACCTAGGAATGGGTAGTAAGCCTAGATAGTCGGATCATTTGTACTGTGATGCATAAAGAGATCAACCGATTACTGTGCGCTGTTGAGCCGCCTCAAAGGCCTGCAAATGTCAACTGTCAATTGTCAATTGTCAATTTTTATATATTCCTAACCGACATAGGATTCGATGTAAAGTGACTGTACCCCCCCCTTTTTCCCACCTCCCTTCTCTTTTTCTGTACCCAACCCCACCCACCCCTCGTTTTTTTTTATGTGAAAACCAATAAAATACAAATTTCAAAAAAAAAAATGGTGTGGAGTCACATAGTGTCTCCAACCATTTTAGAACTACACACCAAAAAAACCCTGAAGGAATGTTCTTTAGTGAAGAATATTGTTCATATAAACTCTCCCTTAACACGGAGATACATTGTATACAACCGATTTGCCATGTAGCAATAAAGTTTGATGATATGCCTATTCAAATTAACACACACGGAAGACAAACGTGGAAGATGAGCGCTGGAACGCACGTTGCGTTCCAACAGGACGCAACCCGGAAGTGACGGATAGAACGAGCGAAACCGGCAAGCGGGCTATTTAAAAACAGCAACAGATGGGACACACAACAGCAAACTGAGGAAGCCTTTATCAAGGCGAAATGCGTTTTGATCTTTGAACTACTATTTTGGACTATTTAGTCTATCCCAAAAAAATCTGGCATCAGCATATTGATTTTTAAATCTTGTTTTTATCTTTGGAGAAATAAAACTACTTTTAAAGGATCCTTTGACACCTGGCATTTTCTATAGCTGGGAGCCAGTTGAGGGATATAAGAAAAACCGCAAAGTACGCTGGGAAAGAAGGGTCTGGACAACCCCCAAATGGTCCAGAGGATTATACCACTTGAGTCATATGAGGGTATGACTCCAGGCTTGTGAGTTTAACCATTTCTTTACGCCTTGTAATATAGTGTTTTAAAGACATATTGCACTATTTTCTGTACCGATTTTATTTTGCAGAACATCCGCTGTATTTTAAAGCTCCACCTTTTTATGTATGTATACTATGTGTTTTTAAGTGGTGTAGGGGATACCACTCTATAGGTGTTTTATAGCTGTAACATTTACTTACCTCCATATTGTGCACACATTTTGTTGTATATAATGTACATTTTAACACTGCATTATAAAAAAAACAGCAGTCTGGCAGAATCTATTTAACCTGATATTCATGTGCCCCTTACTGCATTACTTTAATCCTATTTAGCATATAGCAGGACACCACTTCATTATTATTATTATGTTATTATTTATATAGCACCAACAAATTCCGTAGCGCTGTACAATGGGTGGACTAACAGACACGTATTTGTAACCAGACAAGTTGGACACACAGGAACAGAGGGATTGAGGGCCCTGCTCAGTGAGCTTACATGTTAGAGGGAGTGGGGTATAGTGACACAGTAACAGAGGGATTGAGGGCCCTGCTCAGTGAGCTTACATGCTAGAGGGAGTGGGGTATACTGACACAGTAACAGAGGGATTGAGGGCCCTGCTCAGTGAGTTTACATGTTAGAGGGAGTGGGGTATAGTGACACAGTAACAGAGGGATTGAGGGCCTGCTCAGTGAGTTTACATGTTAGAGGGAGTGGGGTATAGTGACACAGTAACAGAGGGATTGAGGGCCCTGCTCAGTGAGTTTACATGTTAGAGGGAGTGGGGTATAGTGACACAGTAACAGAGGGATTGAGGCCCTGCTCAGTGAGTTTACATGTTAGAGGGAGTGAGGTATAGTGACACAGTAACAGAGGGATTGAGGCCCTGCTCAGTGAGTTTACATGTTAGAGGGAGTGGGGTATAGTGACACAGTAACAGAGGGATTGAGGGCCTGCTCAGTGAGTTTACATGTTAGAGGGAGTGGGGTATAGTGACACAGTCACAGAGGGATTGAGGCCCTGCTCGGTGAGTTTACATGTTAGAGGGAGTGGGGTATAGTGACACAGTAACAGAGGGATTGAGGGCCCTGCTCAGTGAGTTTGCATGTTAGAGGGAGTGGGGTATAGTGACACAGTAACAGAGGGATTGGGGGTCTGCTCAGTGAGTTTACATGTTAGAGGGAGTGGGGTATAGTGACACAGTAACAGAGGGATTGAGGGCCTGCTCAGTGAGTTTACATGTTAGAGGGAGTGGGGTATAGTGACACAGTAACAGAGGGATTGAGGCCCCTGCTCAGTGAGTTTACATGTTAGAGGGAGTGGGGTATAGTGACACAGTAACAGAGGGATTGGGGGCCCTGCTCAGTGAGTTTACATGTTAGAGGGAGTGGGGTATAGTGACACAGTAACAGAGGGATTGAGGGCCTGCTCAGTGAGTTTACATGTTAGAGGGAGTGGGGTATAGTGACACAAAAAGGTAAGTATAGTATTACACTAATGACAGTTGCAGAGAGGAGTCATTAGAGCCATTTATTGAAGAGAAAGTTAACCAAGGGATTTTCAGCAAAAAATGTTTAACTAATGTTTCTTAATTAGAGCAAGGTTAGTCTGACACTCTGCTTATTTCTTTTATTATTTCTGTTAAGGTGGGAATCAATCAGTTTAATGCGATCAGAGCTGGTACCAAGAATGATCAATGAGTATCTTTATCAAAACATCACGGTATAATAATAAGAGCTGGTTCTCAAACCAATATGCTGGAAAACAGATCAAGTATTAAGGTTCTCTCTACATTTTCGTCTGAAATGCTGTGTATGTGAATACGATTGCGGTATCATAGAAAAAGCACTCACCTTTGATGTCTCGATGTACAATCATGTTAACGTGCAAGTAGGACACTCCTTGTAGAATCTGTCTGGTATACCTTCGGGTAACATTTTCTGTTAGGGCACCATATGCTTTCAACTGGTCCTTAATAGAACCCTACAATAAAGTATATTACAGATCAGAATGCGTAGGAGGGGCGTAGGAATGAATAAAACTAAGGGGTAATAATAAATTGGATGGAGGTCAGTATGAATAGGATAAAGGTCATATTGAATAGGATTGAGTATCGAATGAATAGGCTGCCGGTCAAAATAATTAGAATGGGGGTTGGGGGGCAGCATGAATAGCATAGAGGGAAAGCATGAGTAAGATAAGAAATCTGAATGAATAGGACAGGCGATCAGAATGAATAGACAGGAGATCACAATGAGTAGGACAGGAGTTTAGAATGAGTGGGAAAGGAGTTTAGAATGAGTGGGACAGGAGATCACAATGAATAGGACAGGAGATCAGAATAAGTGGGACAGGAGATAAGAATGAGTGGGACAGGATATCAGAATCAGTAGGATGAGAGATCAGAATGAATAGAAGATAATGAGTAGGACAGGAGATTACAATGAGTAGGAGAGGAGATCACAATGCATAAGACAGGCGTATGAATGAATAGGAAACAATATCAGAATAAGTAGGATGAGAGATCAGAATAGGCAGAATTGGAGATTAGAATGAATAAAGACGGGAGATCACAATGAGTAGGACAGGAGATCACAATGAGTATGACAGGAGATCACAATGAGTAGGACAGGAAATCACGATTAATAGGACAGGAGGCCACGATGAGTAGGACAGGAGACCACAATGAGTAGGACAGGAGACCATGATGAGTAGGACAGGAGACCACGATGAGTAGGACAGAAGATCACGATGAGTAGGACAGAAGATCACGATGAGTAGGACAGAAGATCACGATGGGTAGGACAGAAGATCACGATGAGTAGGACAGGAGAACACAATAGTAGGATAGGAGAACACAATGAGTAGGGCAGGAGATCACAATGAGTAGGACAGGAGATCACAATGAGTAGGACAGGAGATCACAATGAGTAGGACAGGATATCACGATGAGCAGGACAGGATATCATGATCAGTAGGACAGGAGATCACGATTAGGACAGGAGATCACGATTAGGACAGGAGATCACCAAGAGTAGGGCAGAAGATCACAACGAGTAGGACAGGATATCACGCTGAGCAGGACAGGATATCACGATCAGTAGGACAGGAGATCACAACGAGTAGGACAGGAGACCACGATGAGTAGGGCAGGAGACCACGATGAGTAGGGCAGGAGACCACGATGAGTAGGGCAGGAGACCATGATGAGTAGGGCAGGAGACCACAATGAGTAGGAAAGGAGACAATGATGAGTAGGAAAGGAGACCACGATGAGTAGGACAGGAGACCACGATGAGTAGGACAGGAGACCACGATGAGTAGGACAGGAGATCACCATGAGTAGGACAGGAGATCACCATGAGTAGGACAGAAGATCAAAATGGGTAGGATGGGAGATAAGAATTAATGGAATAGGAGATGACAAGGAGTAGGATGGGGTCAAAATGAATAAGATGGGAGAACATAATGAGTAGTATGGCAGATCAACATGAATAGGACAGGGTGTCAGAATAACAACTAGAGATCAAAATGAGTAGGACACGGATCAAAGAATAAGAGATCATAATGCGAAAAAAAGGTGCTCAGAATACATAGTCTGAAAGATCACAATGAGAAGGATTGGGTATCCGAACGAGTAGGTTTGGGAATTACTCACCCCTGGCATATACTCCACAAATATGGAGAGCTTCCTCTCTGCCGGATCCCGCAAGCAACCATAGTACTGAACTATCCGCTCATGCCGATGGAGCTTCAGTAGCTGAATCTCACATTCTAAAGCGTTCACCTCCTGCAATCAAAAAAGGGAATCAGTAAATTATTCTAATACCTGTAATTAAATAAGTTCAGTAAAAAGAATGCTTCAGCAAGTAATACGTTAAAAACACAAGTGGGTTCTGGCTTAAACAATGTGCAGATGAAATGTAATTGCTCGGAAAGTATCGCCATGTCATCTTTGTATGCGAGTCTTGTTATAGTAACCAGCTCTTACTTACTTTGCTTGTTTCTTGACTGTCGGGGTCAAACGGCACCTGCTTTACTGCCAGCTCTCTGCCTCTATCCACATCGTAACATAGATAGACTTCACCGAACGCTCCTCGCCCAAGAAGCTTACCCAATCTCCAGTTCTCAGGAGCCTGAGAGGCTATAAGAAATGTTTGCATAAGATCTCAAGTCACTTTCTTACACACATTAAACTGAGCAGAGCATGCGCTAGTCGATTTGGCTGTAATTCTGGTCCTATACTATTCTTGCACAATGCAAACTGAGTAAGAATCAAATATGCTGGAAACAGGGAAGTTGTATAAAAAAATACAACATCTGCCAAAAAGGGCCAACATATCCTACAACACTTTACCTTTACTGAAAGGGGATATTTGAGAGGTGAAGATGACCCTGATCAAACAAGCTTACAATCTATGAGGATTAGAGGTAGGTGGATATATATTGTTAGGTGTATTGCCAAAGGACACTTATTTGTTAGGTGGTCTGACCGGGATTTAATCTGGGTTTCCTGGTGGTAAAGCAGTAACATTACCACTCTTCCAACCAGACAAAGAAGAAGAAATGTGGGCGAATGATGAACACACAAAATGGTGTTTAGAAATGGGGATGGCTGGGTGAAACCGAATATGGAATAAAAAATGGGTGGAGAGTTATGCAATAGGGGGGGTTGGATTTTGGTAAATGGAGTGGATTTTGATATATCAAATGAGTAGGGTCATATAATAATGAGTCAGGAAGTACATGAAAACGAATTTGAGGAAAGAATACAAAAATACAATTTGGAGGTACGTGAAATGAGGAAAAGGAAGAGGAATATAAAATGGAAATGAGAGAATGTAGATAAAATAGGAATTTTAGAAGGGAGTATTAAAATAGAAATTAACAAAATGACTGTGGTCACAATAGACTTACATGTGGTGCAGTGGTCTGATCCTTGTTCTGGGCTCAGGCCCCATTTGCCCTCGCCTTTAACACTTCTTGTTCTATTGCTAGGACTCAACTGAAAGAGGTTCTCCGGAGGGACATAAGTCCGAGGGAATGTGCGCCGACCTTCACAAATCAAAGAAACAACAAAATAATTAATATGTAACATTCCTGGAATAAAGGAAAATTTGTTGGGTTGAAAATTCCAGATTATCACAGAATCAATAGTGCAGCCTGAGTCCCCATAACGGATATATTTTCCAGGAGTGGTTATGGTGGATGGAATATTAAGATGCAATTCCTCCTCTTGTCAAATAATTTTAAAGAAGATTTAAAATATATATATACACTTTTGCTCCCGATCCTTCTGCCACCATCAAGATAATTTTATTGACTTTTTTATCTGTGAAAATGTGGGCAGGAAAGATCGGCAGTGACTACAACATTCACATCTTATTTTCCTGCAAAATTTGCTGGGATAGTTAGTGTTAAAGGGACACTATAGTCACCAGAACAACTAGAGCTTATTGAATTTGTTCTGGTGAGTATAATCATTACTTTCAGGCTTTTTGCTGTAAACATTGTCTTTCCAGAGAAAATGCAGTGTTTACATTAAAGGACCACTATAGTGCCAGGAAAACATACTCGTTTTCCTGGCACTATAGTGCCCTGAGGGTGTCCCCACCCTCAGGGTCTCCCTCCCGCCGGGCTCTGGGGAGAGGAGGGGGTTAAACACTCACCTTTCTCCAGCGCCGGGCGGGAAGCTCTCCTCCTCCTCTCCTCCTCTTCGGCTGAATGGGCATGCGCGGCAGGAGCTGCGCGCGCATTCAGCCAGTCTCATAGGAAAGCATTCATAATGCGTCTTTTCACTGTGATTTTCACAGTGAGAAGCACGCAAACGCCTCTAGCGGCTGTCAATGAGACAGCCACTAGAGGCTTTAGAGGCTGGATTAACCCATTAATAAACATAGCAGTTTCTCTGAAACTGCTATGTTTATAAAAAAAATGGGTTAACCCTAGCTGGACCAGGCACCCAGACCACTTCATTAAGCTGAAGTGGACTGGGTGCCTAGAGTGGTCCTTTAAGCCTAGGGATAACTTCACTGGCCACTCCTCAGATAGCTGTTAGAGATCCTTCCTGGGTCATGGCTGCCTAAATTGCATCCAAACATTCAGTATCTCCTCCCTCTGCATGCAGACACTGAACTTTCCTCATAGAGATTCATTGATTAAATTCAACTCTATGAGGAGATGCTGATTGGCCAGGGCTGTGTTTGAATCATGCTGGCTCTTCCCCTGATCTGCATCCTTGTCAGTCTCAGCCAATCCTATAGGGAAGCACTGTGATTGGATCAGGCTACCACTTCTGATGATGTCAGCAGACTGCTTGTTTTTCTGAGTCTAACAGCATGCAGATCTACAGCTTTTGGCTTGAATACATATTTATGGAGGCATGAGGGGCTCCAGGGGGCTAGATGGTAGTTTTAACACTATGGGTCAGGAATACATGTCTGTGTTCCTGACCCTATAGTGACCCTTTAACTTTCACTGATACGTTTTGTGCAATAATTTAAAATTAAATTTTATTTCCTAATAGTGAATGCTTTAATACGTAAAATGTAAGAAATCCTAGGTTTTAAATATTAACATCTATCTCACCAATCTCACTTTCTCCAAGGAACATATCACATTGCTTCTGTAGGATGTAGGCAGAGCCTTAAAGGACAACTGCCACTTGAAAACAATTTTTTATATAATCCTTTCATCAAATTTTGAAAAGAAATAGATTTTAAAAAATGATGTATATGTAAAAAAAAAAGAAAAGAAAAAAAAAAAAGAAAAAAAAAGAAAGAAAAACCTCCCTGCCTTTAGTCTATGACAGGATCCTTCCACTGCAAAAATACAAATAAAAAAATTGTAAAAGCCTTCTTGCAAATAAAATTGTATTGCACAGTGAAAAAAAAAGAAAAAGGAAATGACAGGATCCTTCAGCCATATACATACACCTTGGAATGGATAGTGTTTGAGAATGGACAGTTAGTCTCTATGGTTTTTCCTGTTTCAGTGCAGGGAGTGAAGCAGGAAAAGCCATAGAGACTCTTAGATTCACTTTATGTATATATTTTACTTATTTATGCACCCAGAAGAGGTTAACAAATAACGGAATGGCTACCAAAAATTAGTTCGCTTTTCGATTAGGTCATTCGTTAATTTAGTAACAGCAAATCATTTTCTGACGAAATTAATGGAAAGTGGAATTTTTCCAAAATTGAATGCACACGTCTATTAGATAATGTGATCCACGCCAACTAACCATATTTGCTCTGTTACTGTGAGAACATTTAATGCATGCTTTAAATGGAGTAAAACAACCATTTCTATTTCACACATAAAGTCTTGTTTATACATTCTCACCATCACTGTAGTCTTTTCGACTCTGGGAGAAATGAAACTGCCGGGGGAAAGTGCCGCCTTTTCCAAACCTCTCGTACATTGGAATTTCAAAATCTAGCAAAGAAGGGAGAAAGGAGTTGTTGATTTATGTAATTTTGCACAGTTTTCTATCGGAAGAATGAAGTGTTATACCACCAGTCTACATGAAAACACAGTATGGGAGTAGGATTTCCCCCCTTATAGCTATGGCACAGAAAGCCAGACTGTATAGAGACCTCTGTGAGTCTGTATATGGAGAGTACTCGGAGTCTGATGCCCATTACAATCCAGCGTTAATAACTCAAACTCCCCCCCCACCAAGAACTCGCTGTTGTAAAGGATAATAAAACAAAATAAGCTTAAATTAATCCCTATCAGCTGTCACTTACAAATGTTGGCCATCTAGCTACATTTTCATTTCCACCAGCCGGCCACTTTCAGTATCCTCTTAGTTTGCCACACGAAGATCCCTGACACACGTTAACATCTTATCTTATTCCGCAATCTGACACACGCCAGACAGCCATTCTCACAGCCCTTACAACCAGCCACACTTAAACATGCTTCAGCTTGCCGCACACAGAGACAGTACCAAGTTTACCATCTCAGTCCATAAAGATAGAGTACACGCACATCCCAGCCACTCACATTCCAGCCACGCACATCCGCACATCCGAGCCACTCACATTCCAGCCACGCACATCCCAGTCACTCACATTCCAGCCACCCTGCAACTCAGATACCCACCAGCCTGTTATATTCACATTGCTGCCAGTTTGCCACACGTAAATTCTCTCAACCAGCTACAGCCAGACTCTGGCTAACAGCCGCACTAAGACTCAGGTCAATCTGCCGCACTCAGACTCAGATTAACCTGGGCACTCAGACTCTGGCTAACTGGCCGCATTCAAATTCTACCTAACTGGCCGCATTCAAATTCTACCTAACTGGCCGCATTCAAATTCTACCTAACTGGCCGCACTCAGACTCTGGCTAACTGGCCGCGCTCAGACTCTGGCAAACAGGCTACACTCAGACTTTGACTAACCACCCCACTCAACCTCTGGCTAACAGCCGCACTCAACCTCTGGCTAACAGGCACACTCAGACTCTGCCTAACAGCCGCACTCAACCTCTTGCTAACAGCCGCACTCAACCTCTTGCTAACAGCCGCACTCAACCTCTTGCTAACAGCCGCACTCAGACTCGGGTTAGCTGGCCGCACTCGGACTCGGGTTAGCTGGCCGCACTCAGACTCGGGTTAACTGGCCGCACTCAGATTCTACCTAACTGGCCGCACTCAGATTCTACCTAACTGGACGCACTCAGATTCTACCTAACTGGACGCACTCAGATTCTACCTAACTGGACGCACTCAGACTCCTGCCAACAGGCTACACTCAGACTCCTGCCAACAGGCTACACTCAGACTCTGGCTAACCGCCGCATTCAAACTCTGGCTAACAGCCGCACTCAGACTCAGGTTAACCTGCTAAACTCAGATTCTACCTAACTGGCTGCACTCAGACTCTGGCCAACAGTCTACACTCAGACTCTGGCTAACCGGCCACACTCAGACTCTGGCTAACCGGCCATTCTATACTAAATACAACCTATCTCTATCTGCAAGTTCCTCCATTGCTGATCTCCTTGACCTTCTCTGTATCTCCATTTATCTCCTATCTTAGAACAGGAATCCGGCGATATCACGCAGAGTATGTATGAGAAACATGAGGAATTCTGTATAAAGGCAGGAGTGGATGAAGGGGGAAAAGGGGGGGGGGGGAGTAAAGCATTTGTTCTCTTTACCTAAACAATCCAAGCTGTCTACCAGCGGGCCGTTTCTTCTTGTAACTGGAGTGGAAAATCCTGGGCTGGAGGCCAAGAAAAGAAAATAAATATTCTGAGACTCGGGGAATCCCCCAGCAAGTGAATTACCGCTGCTCAAAATAAATGTTCACCAAATGTTCAGTACACGCAGACAAGGTAAGAAAAACACAATAATAGACTGAACCTCAGTGTGATCTCTTCCTGCACCGTTTAGCAAAGCCCACGGAGTGAGACAGGGGAGGAATTATCAAAGTTTCGCACACTTTTGCACCTTTATTTAATTTTTTTTGTACAATTATTAAAGGGACAGTATAGTCACCAAAACAACTTTAGCTTATTGAAGCAGTTTTGGTGTACAGGTCATGCCCCTGCAGTCTCACTGCTCAATTATCTGCCATTTAGTAGTTAAATATTTTTTTATTTGTGTCCACGCAGCCCTAGCCACACCTCCTCTGGCTGTGATTGACACAGCTTGCATGAAAAAAATTGTTTAATTTTCAATCAGACGTTAACTTACTTTAAATTTTTTTATCACTTTCGCTGTAAATTGTACTTTAATCACATACAGGAGGCTCCTGTGGGGTCTAGCAAGCTATTAACATAGCAGGAGATAAGAAAATCTAAATTAAATAGAATGTACAATAAAGGAAGTAGAAACATTAGATTTCCCTTTACAGGAAGTGTTTAGGAAGGCTGGGTAAGTCATATGCAGGGAGGTGTAACTAGGGCTGTATAATAAATAATGAGATCTGTAAGGATCTCTAGAAGAAGACTGCGATCTTGTTATCAATCGATGTATCCGAGATGGGCAAGTACCACTATAAAGTCACTGGCCACTAAGGGCCACTATAAAGCATGTGATTATCAAGACCTACCAGGAGCACCTGAGGTTGCTGAGTGTCACTATAAATCCTCTAACATTAGCACAGACCACTGTGCACCTGAAAATAATTAACTCAATATCGGTCAGCAAGAGTTAATTTTCAGAGCCAACTCCCCATTGACGTCAGACTGGAAGCGAGTTCAGCTGCAGTGAATTTGCTGACTTGTATGGGATTAGGTCAATCCATAGTGCAGCAAACTTTTATCTCAGTTAGTAAAACGCAGAGCTCAGATCCTGCTGTAACCCTTGCGAGTATTCCTCTGTCCCTTCCTGTGAGATCCTTCTCCTTTATATTTGCATATCCTGGTTTCTGCCTTTTGGGATTTTCTGTGAGAGCAACTAGTGGCTGCTCCCTTATCCGTGGAATGTTTACGTTGGTGACACCCAAATAAAAACCAAAGTTTCTCTTGGTACCCAGAGCTGAGATCATTACATTAGATGCAGACAAACCAACGCTTTATCACGGTATTCTTCAAACCAAACTGATGATATCATGAAGAATGATAGCGAGGAATGCAATCAGGAACCAAGTATATCCTGTTTACTAAATCAATTTTATTAGTTAGTGCTATCATCCTAAGCCGTAAGAAATTAGCCAAACAGTATTATACCACATCTGTGCCTAGCCGTACCTTTTGTGTCCCTATAATCCACTCCCTCTAGCATGTAAGCTCACTGAGCAGGGCCCTCCCCCTCTGTTCCTGTGCGTCCATTTGTCTGGTTACAATTACGCATCTTTTAGTCCACCCATTGTACAGAGCTATGGAATTTGTTGGCGCTTTATAAATAACAATAAAAGTTAATCTCAATAGTTTTACACCCATTAAGGGTTTGGGCAGTGCTGCACATCTTACAATATAGATAATGAAAGTGTCAGCCATCAATATAATAAAAAGGAAAGGATAAAAACTTATATACTTTCCATGTATTTTAGCCTTTTGAGAACCTGGAATATGGAATTTCACATTTACCTTACTTGTATCGCAGGAATCATATGTCAAATGCTTTCAGTGCTTTACTATGGGGAATTGAGCGACGCTAGACAACCACTAGAGGAGGAGTTAACCCTGCAATGTAATTATTATTTATTATTATTATTAAACACCACTCCAATGGGCAGAAGTGGTCTGGGTGCCTGGAGTGTCCCTTTAAATAGGATTGTGGATTTTGTAAGAGAGAACTTAAACCCACCATATTGTATGCGTAACGTTAGCTTCATACCTGTCCAAGGATTGTTCCAGTGATTGGCAGCTGCTGGACAGTGAGCCGCTCGGGCTAATGAAGGAATCAAGAACCTGCGATGGGGAGAAAATAGAATTTAGGATGCTCACAGTTTACCCACGTCAGCCATGTAGTTCCCTAGGTCAGAATAAACTTAATACAAAAGTGGCCATTACTTTTTCCTTATTTATCACCTAAGTCACCAGTGAATACAGATTATTTAAATTAAAGGTTTTGGTTATATTTTTGGCCATATGATCTCATTAAAGGGACACTTTAGTCACCAAAACAACTCTAGCTCAATGAAGCCATTTTTGTGTATTGATTATTCTACAGAAGTTTCACTGCTCAATTCTCTGCCATTTAAGAGTTAAATCCCTTTGTTTCTGTTTATAGAGTCCTAACCACACCTACCCTGGTGTAAACATTAGATGACTCTTTACAGGAAGTGTTTAGGAAGACTGTGCAAGTCACATGCAGGTAGGTGTGACTAGAGCTGCATAAACAAAATGATTTAACTACTAAATTGCAGAGAATTGAGCAGTGAGACTGCAGGGGCATTACCTATACACAAAAACCGCTTCATTCAGCTACAGTTGTTTTGGTGACTATAGACTATAGGATACATTAAATGTAGGATACATTAAAGTGAACCAAGCATGGTCCTGCAAAATGTAATAGTACCAAAAATCAGAACTACACTGCAAATCTTGTTTTCACCCTTTACGCACTGGTGCAGACAGGGTTACAGCACTAGTGAAGGAAATATTTAAATAAAGTGTTTTTCTTACCTCAGGAATGAATTCTCCTTCGCTGTTAATGCTAGTGTATGACCCCTGACGGGCGATCTGTTGCTGTTCATCAGGAACACAGCCTGGCGGCGGCGAGGTGCGGCCGGTATGTAGGGAACCTGATGGGATAATACGGAGTTAGAAGGTTTCAGTAAGATAAATACACCATAAGGTAATATTTTGTATGGATGGCCATTTTATTGGATAACGTCACGCCCTGGCATATTTAGTCACTAATACAATCAAGGAAGGCAAGACACACATTCTAAAGTCCTTCATATTGTCATCCATTAGAAACGTTACATGGGATTATTTCAGGATAAAGCTGGTACCACCCCACCCCATTCCCAAAAATAAATAACTGAGCACTGTGCACATTTAAATATTTACATAGATTAAAGTAACATTGTGGCGTTAAGAATACATATCTGTATTCCTAAAGCTAACGTCCTGATGTGGCGGTTTAGTTTAGGGTCGCCCTGGTATGACAAAACAAAACAAAAATAAACAAATAAAAATAATACAAATTACTCACCTTATCTCCCTTGGTGATGTCATTCTGGAGGCATGCCTGCAGGCTGAAGATCTAATCCAATGCTCCTCATGGAGAAGCATTGGGCGACCTTAGGTGCATGCGCGACACTCGCCATGGTCTGTCTAAGATTCTACCATTGAATGCAATGATTCTCTATGGCAAACCAAGATGGCAGTGAAGTTATGCTTACGTATGACAGTCGGGAAGGCTCTCATTCACAGACAGATTGGAGGTGGGGGTTGAAGTGTGCTTTCAAGCTTTTTTTATTAGTGAAAATAAGGATTTGGGGGGTTGGAGGGAGAGGAGTAGGGGGAGGCAGGTCAGAAGGCCGTATAACTACGTCAATAAGATGAAATTGTTAAAGTGCGTGCAGTGTTCCTTTAGTTTCTGAGTTTATTAATGCCACAGTAACAACCAGACCTCTTAGGCGAGCCCTAAACTGTAAAAAAAAATGGGTTTTCCTTACAAACCTCCATAATTAACCCTAAATAGGGATAATATCAAAGCAGGCACAAGAACAGGCAAGAGTGATGTGAGTCTGGGTGCATGGGTGACATGTTTTAAATGCTTGTTCAGTTTCCAGCCATGTTACAGTGATGTCTCCCACCCTGTGTGTACACCATTTAGAGTTTTTTAGTTTGTAGGGATTTATATGATTATCCACTTCAGAGTTATTATAAATTTTACAGAAAGGTGAATTGTTAGTGTGAAACTAACTTGAAGGGTTTGCCTTGATGGTGGCAGATGAGCTTACACTCTGATTGTCATTGCAGTGGTATTCAAAGAGTTGGTACAGCCCACTCTAGTGTTTATAATGCCAGGGGTATCCCGACTGCATGGTAATGGGGAATACCATTTACCAATGGCTTGTCCTCTTACCTAAATCCCTGCCGGCTCTGAGGTTCATATTTTTCCAGGTGACAGGTTTCTGGCTGTTGCAGAGATGCAGCTGGAGATGGAATTACAGATCTGGCAGCTGAGGGGTTAAACTCCTTATGTGCACTGAAGTGGTCATGGTGCTGGGGAGTCATTCAGGTCTGGGATACTGGGTGCACAGCTAACTTTTAGTAGACCTGTGCAAAAATTTATTGCATGTGATTTGCCCAAATAAAATCCCTGGTTAATCGACGAATGTATCAAAACCATAATATTTAACCTGTGGAGTCAACAGGTGAGAACGAATTGGAGTTGATTGGTGCGATTAACAGATATTATATTTGGATATGCTGCTTAAAGCTCATTTTTACATGTGTTTTTTTTTTTAGTTATTGCACAGCCCAAAGCAGAATTAAATTAGCCCTCAGCTGTCGGAGTATCATGGGAAATGCAGTTTGCAAACAGTTTTAGCCATTGCGGCCATAGGGAAATCTGCAAGAATTAGCAGAATTCAGCCGTGGGGGATGTGATGAATCGTGAGATAAATGTGATATAGGACTGCTTGCCTGTTGAACATTTGCGATTCTTTCCTGAATCTTTGTACAGAGAGCCCAGAATATCTCCCATAGATTTGGATAGCCTCATGTCATGCTGCTTCGGACACACAGGTTGCAGAAACTGTCGAATACAAAAAATAAACATAAAAGTGTCTGGTCATTAAAAGAAAAGAAACAGTAAAAAACACATATTGCATTATTAAGGAGACATTATTAGCAGAAATCCACAAAAAATGGAGCACACAGAAGTCACCATTAAGTGTCTACATTAAAAAATAATACTAAACTAAATTCAGCTACTGCCACCTCCAAGATGGTGGGCATAGTGTATATGAGTACATCTGCTTGCTTCTAAATTCTATGTGGGCAAGGTATGTGACAGGCCCCATTCAGCATAAAGATAAAAACCTGGTGGATGCATGTGTAATCCAGGACTATGCCACTATGCTTACAGCACGGGTGTGTAAACTATAAACCGTCGCTTGGCATTGGTTACCAATCTGACTCTCACACATTATACAGACTAAACTATATATACTTTCAAATGGCACGTGTAGTTTCTGTATTAGCGCTACAGATTAATATTCTAGATAATTATGCCTCTACGTCACAGTCATAGTGTTATAAAAAAATAATATGGCAGCTGCGCAGGGTGTGCTGATGGTGTGAGATAGGCATTGTGGGAAAGAGTGTCATAATGCGGAGCCTGAGGCTTGCTTTTTTTTTTGTCAGAGAACCTTCTAGCCTTTCTAAGAGAACGATCGACTATTATGAATGTAATTGTAATACATTTGCATGTGACTGAAACAAAGATGCAATGCTGACAGACGCACCTTCATTTTAAATTTGCACGGTTGGCGATCGTTCGCACGGTGTAGGAAAGTAAATGAACAAAAGACGTGCCAATTTAGAAAATGTGTCAGTGCCTTGAAACTGACAGGAAAATAATTATTACAATTAAACTCTGCATCTAATTCTATTTTCTTTCACAGTTAATCCCAATGATCCGTGCCGAAAACAGAAACTTTACTCACGCTATTTTTTTTGGGCACTTTCACAAGAATTTTCAGACTCTTCAAAGAGAGGCTCGAGTCCAACTGTTCTAGGGCCTTTTCCAAGTCGTCCTGACACTTTATGGGAATGAGGAGCTGAAAGACACGAGCAAGATACATGTTGGATGCAAACCCCGGGGAGAACTTAAAGCCCTGTGTTCCAGTTATTTGATACATGACAAATGAGAACACGCTGAAAACATACCTTTCACCTGAAATAAACTTTACATTAATCAACATATTATAAAAACTATACTCTGCAAGGAATGGTGAACCTGAAAAGGATGTTTTCTATAGTTGTGTGAATCTGTATCTTTTTTTTACTTTTTTAATTCTCATAAAAATATAAAAGGTATTTCAAGAGAAATGATTAAAAAATGTGATTATATTAATTTCACTGTAATTTGGTATTTACAGCGTTGTGGAATATTTTGGCAACTTAATAAATGCCAGTAATAAATAATAATAAATAAAATTTACTGAACAAACAACTGCGCATCTTGAGGTTTCAAATTAGTATTTGTAAATGCCATCGACAACCAGCAGAGGGCCCCCCAGGAGCATGAACGGATTTCAGGAAACTGTAAAACGCAGTTAGCACGCTTTGCCTAGTGGATTGGTGGATATTTTTTTGCTCTGATAGTGCCAATCAGGCAACGCTATATGGAAAATATTCATCAACGCCAAAAGAAGTTTTCCAGCAGCGCTGCCAAGAAACCACATAGAAGTCTTTACAAACAGCCGTTTACTGCTTAAAAAAACAGATATTATTCACTTTGATTTATTCTATGTAGCAAAACACACGCTTTATTCCAACATGAAGTGAATTGTCCGCCCCTGCAGAATCTCATTTCACAATCCACTTCGATATATAAAAAAAATAAAAAATCTCAGATTCTGTTTGTGTGTATTTTTTGTTTCTTTATAAATTGCAGTTTGTAACTTACCACCCAATAGCCCCATGTTCACCTCCAAGCTAATTTACCTCCCAGTATTTAATTTTGGCGTGACTGGGGCTGTGACCATGGGCGGGGCTGTTCTGAGACATTTTAGGCGACTAATAACAATTTAACTAAAATGTAATTCAGAACAAGAACAATGTATCGTATTTACACAGCCTGATTTCTCATCACATTTATTGTAGTTTAAAGACACATTACTGGGAGTATTATTGCTGTGGAGCTCTGTTATACACTCAGACACATTACTGGGAGTATTATTGCTGTGGAGTTCTGTTATACACTCAGACACATTACTGGGAGTATTATTGCTGTGGGGCTCTGTTATACAGTCAGACACATTGCTGGGAGTATTATTGCTGTGGGGCTCTGTTATACACTCAGACACATTACTGGGAGTATTATTGCTGTGGAGCTCTGTTATACACTCAGACACATTACTGGGAGTATTATTGCTGTGGAGCTCTGTTATACACTCAGACACATTACTGGGAGTATTATTGCTGATGAGCTCTGTTATACACTCAGACACATTACTGGGAGTATTATTACTGTGGAGCTCTGTTATACACTCAGACACATTACTGGGAGTATTATAGCTGTGGAGCTCTGTTATACACTCAGACACATTACTGGGAGTATTATTGCTGTGGAGCTCTGTTATACACTCAGACACATTACTGGGAGTATTATTGCTGGGGAGCTCTGTTATACACTCAGACACATACTGGGAGTATTATTGCTGTGGAGCTCAGTTATACACTCAGACACATTACTGGGAGTATTATAGCTGCGGAGCTCTGTTATACACTCAGACACATTACTGGGAGTATTACTGCTGTGGAGCTCTGTTATACACTCAGACACATTACTGGGAGTATTATTGCTGTGGAGCTCTGTTATACACTCAGACACATTACTGGGAGTATTATTGCTGTGGAGCTCTGTTATACACTCAGACACATTACTGGGAGTATTGTTGCTGTGGAGCTCTGTTATACACTGAGACACATTACTGGGAGTATTATTGCTGTGGAGCTCTGTGATACACTCAGGCACATTACTGGGAGTATTATTGCTGTGGAGCTTTGTTATACACTCAGACACATTACTGGGAGTATTATTGCTGTGGAGCTCTGTTATACACTCAGACACATTACTGGGAGTATTATTGCAGTGGAGCTCTGTTATACACTCAGACACATTACTGGGAGTATTATTGCTGTGGAGCTCTGTTATACACTCAGACACATTACTGGAGTATTATTGCTGTGGGGCTCTGTTATACACTCAGACACATTACTGGGAGTATTATTGCTGTGGGGCTCTGTTATACACTCAGACACATTACTGGGAGTAATATTGCTGTGGAGCTCTGTTATACACTCAGACACATTACTGGGAGTATTATTGCTGTGGAGCTCTGTTATACACTCAGACACATTACTTGGAGTATTATTGCTGTGGAGCTCTGTTATACACTCAGACACATTACTGGGAGTATTATTGCTGTGGAGCTCTGTTATACACTCAGACACATCACTGGGAGTATTATTGCTGTGGAGCTCTGTTATACACTCAGACACATCACTGGGAGTATTATTGCTGTGGAGCTCTGTTATACACTCAGACACATCACTGGGAGTATTATTGCTGTGGAGTTCTGTTATACACTCAGACACATTACTGGGAGTATTATTGCTGTGGAGCTCTGTTATACACTCAGACACATTACTTGGAGTATTATCGTTGTGGAGCTCTGTTATACACTCAGACACATTACTTGGAGTATTATTGCTGTGGAGCTCTGTTATACACTCAGAGACACCAACAATATGGAGCTTCTAAAAAAGTGGGACATTAGGATAAAAGAGAGAGACTGAGGGATTTGAGCCCAAAATAGGGACTGTCCCTCCTAAATAGAGACACTTGGGAGGTATGTTTGTTTATTGGCTAATGCTAACCAGGGTGTTTAATACAGGGGATAAGTAAAAACAACAGTAAAAATCCTGCAAAATGGCAGATTTCCTTTAACACAAGATGTTTCTTTTTTCACCGTTTCAGACCATAACTTGCAGTAAGATCGTAGATTCTTGGAACAGCCGGGTTCATTACCTCATTGTTTGCATAGTGCAAGTCCATTGTTTGCCCAAACGCATCTGTGACTTTCTGCATCACATCCTTGAATTTCACTGGTCTTTTAAACTCAATAATCCTGTAAGAGAAAAATAAATAAGCATGAAGGCTGTTTCGCATACAACACACACAGACATTATTATCCAACTTACAAAAACATAAAGTACTGACAAACCATCACAGTAATTGTGAACACTCTGTCCCAAACCTATATCAGTGCATCAACAATGGATGAGACCGGTTCATCCTAATCATCGTTCCCACGGGATAGTTTAGCAGCACTGCCTACCCTGGTGAAATGCAGACCCCTCAGATACGAGGGATAGTCTAATAAAGTGTTTTTATAAAATGTACTATAGAAAATATATTATGCAACACCTGCACAACCGGTCACTGAAAGCATTTTAAAATTGAAGAACAGGTTTCCAATCTAGTTACGCCATATATGGAATGTGGGTCCCTATAATAAAAAAACTTAAAGGGACACTGTCGACACTATAACTGCTTCATCTGATTGAAGTGGTTATAGTGTTGGAGTCCCCTGGCATCATCCTTCTGTTCAGTGTTAAACTGTTTTTAATAATTTAATGCTAAACTAAAGTCCCCTGCAGCCTATCCCCTCTGTGCTGTTGGGCTAATGAGGAATTGTTAGCCTTGGGCATGGGGCAGCTGTGATTGGCTGAGAGTGTCAGCTGACTGCGTTAAGCCTATCACAGTGGTATGAATTGGTATGGCTAGAAGGAAGTATGTAATGTCTGCCTTAGCCACACCTCCAGTATGGGCCGGGCTGGGGACGACTAAGGACCCTTATTCAACTTAGTCAAACTGCTCAAAAATGATTAAACATTGAATGGAGGGACAATGAATGGACAATTCGCTAAGATGAAATGTTTATAGTGCTTACAGTGTCCCTTTAAGGACCGCTGTTGAGGCATTCGAGCTGTTTCTAGGTGTTATGTATAAAGAACAGTTCTGGGATAAAGTTTAAATAATTGTGCTTCAGCTATCACCGTGGAAAACGAGGCTCCAGGAATGCTGTCAATTTGCAATGTACAATGACTGTGCTAACGTTAATCGAAGTGTTTTACTCAAACACCCACGTACGACATTCAGTGTTTAGTGATGGCTTAGTACATTCCTCCCAACATTGGCAGGCTGAGACGCCATTAGCTAGTGGATTGTTTGTGAAATAGGCACAACACAAGCTCATCATTTAACACATTAATAAAGCACTAAGTGCACTAAAAGCAGTCTGTCCATGATCTTCAACGGCGTTGCGCATGGGAAGCCCTGAGCAGTGTGCATGTCCCACTCCACCCCCTATCCTACATTCCTACTTCCCCATGTTAGTTTGATAAATAATATGAAAATTCTATGATTGTTCTGTAAGCACCAAGACAACTTTAGCTTAATAAAGTGGTTTTGGTGTATAGCTCACGATCACAATCCTTAGTGTGTAATTATCTGCCTTTTAAGAGTTAAATCACTTTATCAATGCAGCCCTAGCCCCACCTCCCCTGGCTGAGACACACATGGCTCCTATACACACTTCCTGAAAAAAAGGCTAAGTTTTTTAACTTCACTTATTGCACAATGTGTTTAGTGTAGACTTTTGCATCTTCTGCTTTGTTAACAGCCTGCTAGAGCCTAGTGCGTGATTAAAGTTCAATTAACAGAGCAGGAGACCAAAACTGACTATTAATTTATAATATAAAAAAAAAATCACTGGGTACAAGGTGCATTAAATGCAACAAATACAACCATATCTGCATTCTTTTTTTATTTGTTGAAAGAAAAAGATATTTTATTGAAATGTAATAATCTGAGTTTTAATGTATGAAATAATATAATCCTGGCGTCTCCTTAACCGGGCATCGAGAATGACTCAGAACTCCCAGGTGTCCGTTGCAAACCATTTCTAACTCATTCCATAAGTCATTACAATTATTACTAGACAAAATATGGTCTATCAGCCGGTTGTATGCTAAATCGCTTTATGGAATTTATACTTTATGGAGATCTGTATGAACTGACACATCGGCAGAAAATTCCATAACCATATCCACGTAATATGACTGTACGGTTATTCTGAGCATGTGTCCTTAATGCTGGTTATATTCATTATTTGCACTTTCAGTATTCAGATACCTATTATTTCAATGCTCTATAACTACTCTAAAACCAACAAACACACACAGGAACAAAGCACATCTGAAATTAAAATGGTAACATAAATAAATACAAAACAAAATTTCATATAGCATATACTTGTGTCAACCATCTATTTCTCATTTAAATGCATACAGATATGATGGCATTTTGTGGCTTTAAAAGCCACTATACTTTATATAATATATGAACGACAGATGGATTGGAAATTTAGTATCTTTCTTCCCATTTTAAATAGCATAAGTTTTTCCGCTCATGAAACAAAATCTTATAGAATTTTCCCGATGTGGATATTGGATCACTTTCTGATCTGCACGTGTGACCGTCATATATCTCAGTTACAAATCAACTCATTCATGTAAGGGACTGATCTAGCACAGGAAGAAGTGACTCGCTCCTTTCAGCATCAGAACTGCAAAGGATAATAATTGCTGATACATAACATGTAAATTATAATCTCAGCCCAAATTAATTCAAATATAATAAAAAGATGCGCGTACATCAAACGTAGCAAAAGGGTTTGTGGTTTTTTAACTCCAAAAGGCAGTTACACTTCCCCTGTGAACGCGTATCCTATATCATTTTACTACAATTTGATGCTGTTCGAAGGTAATTGTGAATTTTTTTACATAACCAACAAGGGAGAGGTGTGTACATCAGCTCTCAATCATTGTAATAGCTATTTTGGGGGACAAGATTTAACTACCGGTGTGTATTTTTATATAAACATTTGCTGACAATTCTACAGCAAAAATATGGATACAATGGAGCTTACAGTCTTTAACTGTTCCTTATTGATGCAGGTAGGTGAAAACATTTCACTACTAAATAACTGGCGTCCATAACTGTACTTATACTGAATAGTCTTTTAGGTAGACATTTTGGCCAAATATACTGTAATGTAATTTTCTGTTAGGCTACAAAGTGCTTAACAGAAAAAAAAAAAGTTTTATATATATATATACACACACACACACACACACACACACTTTCTGTGCTTTGATACTCCCAGCCCAGGCACATCCTACATAAAATGAAAAAATAAATAAATTACAAATTAACAATGCACTTTGAACACTTTGAATAGATTATAGGGATTACTATCTCTAGAATGGGCAGCAGGGCCTAGTGGTAGAAGATTCAGTGGAACCCTTGTTTGAGCATTCTGAGCCCATCACTGCTATAACCCACGTACAATCATTTTAACTCCCCCATGTTTTAAGAAGCGGAGAGACTTTAGGGGAATGGAGATGCATTATGATTATAATTACTAATGTAAAGTGGCCAATATAAATTCTAACTGCGTGTATATAAATGTTCTAATGAGATAGTTTCCATACTGTTGGCAGCTGGTGAAGAAGGAGAGAATGGGCTGTACGCCACAGAGCTATGATTCTAGGATATGTGCCCAAAATCTGGTTATCTGAAAGGTCAGAGCCATAAGGACTTGTTCCAATATACAATGTACCCAGCTTAAAAAGACAAGCCATAAACGCACAGAAGGTAATTCATACACCTTGACATTTTTCCAGTGAAGTGTACAAACGAAGATGAAGATCTTATATTTAGATGAAGCAATGGCCAATCTAAGGAACATTAAAAGTAAGGAAAAGCCAGGGACATGTGAGTTCATTCATAACTAGAGGACAAAAAAAGCCACCACAAGACATCTAGCCTTGATCACGAAACATTATAGCCCAACTTGAACAACCCACGGATATGATATACAGTTACTGGTCAATCGTATTTTTGGCCCATGTCCAGAGCCACCTTCTTACTGGTTACAGTGTCTCTGAATATGGTAAATTATCAATAGTTTGTCTAGATAATTTGTTGTGGGTCCTTCACTGGATTGTTTTAAGGAACCTGGTGGCATTTCTCATAATGCAACTTTCTGAAGATGCCCCTGGATGTAAAAAATAATGTGTATGTGTTTGGATAATGTCCATCTTCAGTAAGTACAAAAACTTTTAAGTGTATACTTTGTTTCCGCAGAGAAATCAGAATGACGCAAAATACAGTAAAATTGTTAAAATACTTTGCCAGTTACTGAATCAAGATGATGATTGCATAGGAAGCTGAACAAGTGACGCCAAGATTAACAATTCTTTAGATTCTATGATCTGGTGTTCTGCCCAATTCATACATTTCCACTGCTTTCGTGATATTAGTGGAAGAGCAAGTAAAAACAAAAAGGTGAATAACCTTTGGGGAAGTCCATCTAGATCTAGGTCTCTTCTCTGTGTTGACCTTGAAGGATGCTACATATTATAATTTTGCTCTGCTACAAGGCAGGCCATAAAAAAATAAGTAAATAATTCTTGCACTATTTACTTCAGTGGTTTAATTCTCCCCCTCCCGTCACTTGTGAGACATCACACACTTTCCCTGAGAAATCGCTGTCTAGACAGCCTCCTTTCTTGTGAGAACGCCAGATTTGTGGTGCGTATGGGATCGCTCACGCTAGATGTGCTGTTACGTGACATTACTCAGGGGGCAGATCCATGAAACTAGGACATATTTAACAGTTTGTAAAGATCAGACAAATTGTGCTTTTTAACATACTCTTTGGGACAAACCTAAAGTGGTTCTATCATCATCAAATAGCTTTACAGTAGGATATTATTCAAAGATTTATCTTTTTTTTGTTCCTTTTTTTATATATAAAGGATTTATAGATCATCTGCATATGGCACCGGCATCATCAATACCTTGATCACTTTGTTTGACCAGATTATTGCTGGGAGTTAAAGGGACACTGTAGTCACTATAATCATTTCACCTCTTTGAGTTGGTTTTAGCGCCTGGAGTCCCCTGGCACTGTCCCTCCATTCAGTGCAGTATAACACTAAATAAGTGTCTCTGGCCACCCGCTGTCCGGCCCCTACTGGAGGTTAGACTAAGGCAGAGATTAAACACTTCCTTGTTGTCATACCCATTCATACCGTCAGTTGGAGCTTTGATAGGCTATAAGCAATCAGCTGACACTCTCAGACAATCACAGCTGCCCATTGCTGCTCAGGCTAACACTTCCTCATTAGCCAAAGCAGCACAGAGGGAATGGACTGCCGGGGACTCTTGTTTAACATTAAAAAATTAAAAACGGTTTAACCCCTTAAGGACACATGACGGAACTAGTCCGTCATGATTCCCTTTTATTCCAGAAGTTGTGTCCTTAAGGGGTTAATGCTAAATGAAATGTCGGTACCAGGTGACTCCAGTCACTATAACCAGTTTAATGAGATGGATCAGACAGAGTCTACAGTGTCCCTTTAATCAGTTCAACTCATTTAATCAAATCGTCTGATTGGCTGCTGACCACATTTCTTGGTAAAAATTCTGATGCATTTCTTAAACAGTTAACTCAGTGGAAAAAAAAACTAAACAAAACTGCCAAATTTTGACAGTGGTAACTTCAGCTGAAATTTTAGAGGTTGGTCCAATGAATACATTACCTATCTGTTATTAGAATAGTTTTAAAGAAACACTATAGCATTACGAATACAAACATGTATTCCTAACGCTATAATGTAATGTTACATGGTTACATAGCTGAAAAGAGACTTGCCTCCATCAAGTTCAGCCTTCCTCACATTTGTTTTTTAATGTTGATCCAAAAGAAGGCAAAAAACCCAGTTTGAAGCACTTCCAATTTTGCAACAAGCTAGGAAAAAAATTCCTTCTTGACCCCAGAATGTCAGTCAGATTTATCCTTGGATCAAGCAGTTATTACCCTACATTGAGATAATATATCCTTGAATATTCTGTTTTTGCAAGTATGCATCTAGTTGCTGTTTGAACATCTGTACGGACTCTGATAAAACCACTTCTTTAGGCAGAGAATGCCACATCCTTATTGTTCTTACAGTAAAAAAACCTTTCCTTTGCCTTAGACGAAATCTTCTTTTTTCCAGTCTAAACGCATGGCCTCGTGTCCTATGTAAAATTCGGTTTGTGAATAGATTTCCACACAATGGTTTGTATTGGCCCCGAATATATTTGTATAATGTTATCATATCCCCTCTCATGCAACGTTTTTCTAAACTAAATAGGTTTAAATTTGTTAACCTTTCTTCATAGCCGATATGTTCCATTCCTTTTATAAATTTTGTAGCCTTCCTCTGCACTTTTTCTAGTGCCATAATATCCTTCTTTAGAACAGGTGCCCAAAATTGCACAACATATTCAATATGTGGCCTTACCAGTGATTTTTAAAGAGGGAAAATGATATTCTCGTCCTGAGAATGAATGCCCTTTTTCATGCATGACAATACCTTACTGGCCTTGGCCACTGCTGATTGACATTGCACACTGTTGCATAGTTTGTTGTCTATAACAATTCCCAAGTCCTTTTCGTGTGTTGTTATCCCTAATACGCTTCCATTAAGGGGATACGTTGCTTGTGTATTCTTTACGCCGAAGTGCATAACTTTGCATTTTGCAACATTAAATTTCATCTGCCATTTGAGTGCCCAGTCCTCCAGTCT